TGAGAGTATGCCTGCCTGATATTGTCAAAAACACTTGACTAAAATAGTAAGATAAATAATTCTTTAAAATCTACTCTTTAAGGGTGGTCACCTCATTATATGGTTATAATCACCATTATATATGTAGTCCCTTTTCATTTTACTTTCCTCCCTCCCCTCCTGCCTTGCCTCCTTCCTTGCTTTCTCCCTTCCTTTCTTTCTTGAACTGTGACATGCAAGCTGTGTGGTGCAGTGAGGTAGGTCTCGGAGACACTGGATGAATTAAGCCCATATCTATGAGTGTAGCTGGTCATGATCTTGAAAATTACCTTAGCCCATTATTTCAAAGTTGAGACACCTGGTTGCTGCATAAAGTATTTAAATGTAAATACTGATAATAATAATGACCTCTGTGTAACACGTATTTTGTATCTGAAATCTACAGAGAGCGTGTGAATTTCTTTTTGCTCCAGTCAGAATATAGGCACCATGAGAGTGAGAATATTGTCTCACTCAGGCTTTGCACTAAGTAGCCATTTGATAGCAATGAACAGATAAAGGATGGCCCATGTTCCAAGGAGAACAGTGGTCATTTTGCTTTGTTTATTTCTGCAGCCCCAGTGCTAGTTCTGCATTCAATAAAACTCAACTGAACCACCTGGGTCTATCTTGGGAAGGGTTTCACCAGTAGTTGGTAGTATTAACAAAGGTGGTTTTTATTTATTTCTGAGTACAAGACACACAAAAATGTGATGACTTTCCTGACCATGGTGGTTTCTCTGATCTTTCTTCTGGTGGTTGCTGACCTGGGTGCACCGACTGGGGACACCAAGATCTGAGTGCTGGTCTGGCTGATTGCAGCAGGAGGAGCTGAGGCCCTACCAACCCTGAGGCTGGGGACAGACAGAAGGATGGGAGAGAAGGGGAAGGACTATTAGAAAAAGTACAGAGAACAGCAGTTCTCAACCAGGAATGATTCAGCAATGTCTGGAGACATTGTTAGTTGTCTCAGTGGGGGTGGCTACTGGCATCTGGTGGGCAGGGAACAGGGATGCTGCTAAACATCCTACTAGTACAAGGAAGCCCACGACAGATATTCATCTGATGCAACACATCAGTAGTGCTGAGGTTGAGGCATTGAGTTGTAAACTTTCTACCAAAAAGATGGTAGACAACTCAAGGACAGGAAAGTCATTCCCATAAGTCTTCCCCAACATTCATGTGCCTGTTTATCTCCATCGCCTTTTGCTCCCAACACAAGGTGACTTCCTACTCTCTAGCAGCCTCCTATTCCCTCGCAGCTATGTCCCCCAGATAGATGAAAACATCACAGGGACTGGGGCTGCAGTTCGCTCCCTGCAAATACTCATCAATAGAGTTTGCTCCTAAATTAGATCAGAAATGTGCATTTAAATGGCTGCAGCTGGTCTTCAGGTGAGATCTCAGTCAGTCTCTTCTGAAATAGTCAAGGGGAGGGGAGTCACTGAGCATGAATCAGACGTTCTCTGGAGCAAAGATTCAGGAGAGCAAAATAATGTCCTGCATTACTGGGAGTGGGAGCAGAAGATGCAGAGAAGGGAACTAGCCTGACTCTGAGGGAGGGGCTGAAAGGGAGAGGGAGGGTGGGGTGAGATCCCGGGTGGGGAAGGGGAGCCAGGCTGCAGTTGGAACAGGAATCACCCTCAGAGACACATCCTGGGGGCAACAAGCCACCCTCCAAACTCTCCCCCCCATAAAACCCAAACATCCCTTTAAAGGAGCAAGTGCAGGACATGAAGGAGGAGGAGGCCATGTTACAGGAGTCTGAGAAGGGGGTGATTACAGCCGTGACCTCACAGGCTCAGCCCCTCTCAGCGGCAGTGGAGACACAGCCTGGTCTTGTCGCCACTGCAGACCAGAATCCTGTGCTGGGGCCTTGTCTGGTCCTCCTGACCCTGCCATGGGCTCCAGGCTCCTCTGCTGTGTGGCTCTCTGCCTCCTGGGAGCAGGTGAGTCCCGGCCCAGGTGACCCGACCCTTCTATCCTGCCCACAGCGACAGGCTGCCCCTGGGATGTGCCTGAATTCTGCTTCCTCCCTTCACAGGCCCCCTGGACGCAGCTGTTTTCCAGACTCCAAAATACCTGGTCTCGCAAATGGGAAATAATGTGTCCCTTAAGTGTAAACAAACTCTGGGACATAATGCTATGTACTGGTACAAGCAGGACTCC